ATGGAACTTAAAAAGTACAAAGAAGATGCACAAGAAGGAAGACGCTCTTTTGGCTTCGCATTTCAATTTTTAGAAATGGAGATTTGGAACTATGAGAAACAACAAGAAATGCCTGCAGAACAAGAAGATTGGGACAAAGAAGAAGCCATCTTTAATGAACAAGTAATTTTATGTGGGGAAGAAAAAGGAAAGGGGGGAAAGAGAATGGAAAGTTTAAAATTTTAAAAAAACAACCAAAGAAAAGAGAACTAGTTTGAAAAACAAGTATAATATTGGAAAGCAACAGAAGAGGGGAATACAGAAGAGAGAAATAGAGGTAGAGAGACAAGGGGGTAAAAAGGGGAGGGAGAAGAAGAGATGGAAGAAGGAAAGGAAAAGAAGTTACAAAGGACAGAAACAAGATATAGAGAAACAGGGCCTATTTAGAGATAACGGGTGAAAATCTAAGTGAAAAAGGGATTCTGTAAAGTTACATAAGATAGTATTGTTATATTAGAAATAGAAATAATTTTAGAAAAGTTGAAACAATGTATGATTAAAATGATGGATAAAATAGTTATTGTAATCCAGTGAAATGTTTTTTAATAAATAAATGAAATAGAGAGAATTGAATTAGGAAAGGATGGGAACATTTTAATTATTTAATGTTTCATAAAATATAAGTGAAGAGGAATAGGGGGAAAATTAATTATGGAAAGCTTATAACTGTTCTCAAAGAAGTATGGTATTTAATTGAAAAGTAATGTTAAAGAAGTTAAGATTTTAATGAACATTAATATTAATGATAGAACTGAATTGGAATGGAATGAGTGTTTTAATTGCATATATTTATAATCTTTTCTTTAAAAGAATATAGTTTGTATTATAAGAATGTACCAAGCAGAATTCGATTGGAAGTTATGTATTATATTGAATATTATAACTTTAAGGTATACATTGAAGCTTAAATAAGAGTTAAATGGATAAAACGAAAAGATATAAAGGTGTCATACTCCAATTAGTAACTTCAGGAGAAAATTTGTTTAATGAGAAAAGATAATATGAAATTGAAACAGGACAGACAAAAAGTATAAATATAATGATTTGAATTGAGACGAGATAATCAAAATAAAATTGAGAAAATTAAAAGAGGGGAAAAGCTATGTAGAAAATGTAAAACAGTAATAAGATATGGAACAGAACATAAAAATGAGCATGAAATTGAATTTGTGTCTGTACGAAGAAGTGTAACCCGGGACCATGCTACTTTCAAAAAAGATGTTTTATTTGTATTATGTTTTTTTTGTGAAAACTCAAATAAAATTTACAAAAAAACCAAACAAACCCTCCAGCGATAGAGAATTAACTCTGGGGGACATATGAAAATTAAACCATCCAGCATCTGAGATCACAGTAATTCCAATTCTATAAGAAAACGATATTAACCGGAAGAGTTTGCTTAGCCTCCTGGGTCAAATTCCTAAGGGAATAGCCAGGTGTTTAATGGCTTACAAAAGGCTAACTGTGGGTTTAGATCTCTGTGTTACATAAGAATCATATTACCTTTCAACTGAAAATCCAATTTTTAATTTTTATATGTGTGTGTGTGTGTTGTGAAGTTTATAAACTCACTATATACAGGTAGTTCTCAACTTACAAGAGTTCATTTAATAACCATTCAAAGTTACAATGGCACTGTAAAAAGTGACTTATGACCATTTTTCACACTTATGATGATTGCATTATCCCCATGATCACGTGATCAAAATTTGGATGCCTGGCAACTGACTCATATTTATGACGATTACAGTGTCCTGGGTCATGTGATCATATTTTGTGACCTGATAAACAAAATCAAAGGGGAGATTTTGTCAAAGTCAGATTCACTTAACAACTATGTTACTAACTTAACTGCAGTGATTCATTTAACAACCGTGGAAAAAAGGTAATAAAATTCACTTAGAAAGTGTTTTGCTCAACAACAGAAATTTTGGGCTCAACTGTGGTCATAAGTTGAGAACTATTCACTAAATTCAATTCCAAGTTTCGCAATGCTTTCCAACTGCAAGAATCAGTGAGTACTATTTTGATCCAATAAGCATATATAAAACTTAAAACGATTAAGATTAAACTGACCAGCTATAATTACCTAATTCTCAGCCAAAGTAAGAGATGTTCAAAAGTTCTTAAAATAACTTAATCATCTCTCTATATATGTATATGTTACATTTGTTGCAAAATTTATTGATATTTTTAAAAAAATATTTCTTTAGCCCCAAATTTTGGGCACTTAATCAAAATTAATATAGCTTCAGCATGTTAATGAATTTCCATTAATATATTTTTGACTCATGCCCAGGAAAACAAATCCTTCTTTTGTACATTAATATACATCATTGCCTAATTCAGTATGGTCTATTCTGGACATGGACAATCTTTTTTACAAATACAATACAAATGTTTCTTTTTGCCTCATATATAGGCTATAAAATGCAGATGATAAATATTAGCTTTTATTTATGTTTTCTACCATGAACAAAGTATAAATCTTTTGCTTGTAGGAATGTATGGACTATACTTAATAATTCTGGCTTTCTGTGACTAAACCTTTGGACTGTTTATAGAAGTGATAGCGGATCAAGAAATATTGGTGGCTCTTTTCTGTGGTTCATTACCACGATTCACGCCATGTTAATTACGATTTCTGGTTTGTTCCTCTCAAACTAGCTAACAATCCAAAGGCAAGAATTAATTAGCCATGATTTCCAGCTTTGGCTTGTTAGAATATTATGAGTCTGAATTTATATACTTTACAGAGCCCAAGGTTTGCTTAGCTAGAAATTGCAGTCACAAAAATATTTTGTTCATGTTCAGTATAAATTCTGTGTTACTGTATTGTGTAAACATACCCTGCATGAATGTATCTGTTTGATCTGACTTCATGTGTTCTGTGAACTTGGCTGATTTATTTAATTAATGTTAAAAAAAGGGCTGTTGGGAAATACAATGAAACCTATAAGCCAGTGTTGGCAAATCTTTTTGGCACCGAGTGCCAAAACGGGAGTGCATGCATGGGGGGGGCCGGGGAGGAGTGCCGGAAACCAGAAGAGTATGTACGCCGGAAACCCGAAGCTCAACTTCCCGGCACACACATGTGCGCCGGGGAGCTGCTCTGCCGGTTTTCGGCACTCCCGCACTGGAACCCCAAAGAGCAATGGGCGACGGCTGGGCCACTTCCAGCATGCATGCCATAGCTTCGCCATCATGGCTATAAGCCATTCAGGTGAGCTTAGCTCTCTCAGGGCTTTTAGAAAATCAAAAAGGCAGTTTCAGTCTCATCATTAAGAAGAGCAATCCATAGTAGCAATGAAGCAGTAATTATTGCCTGGAGTAAAGTGGGTTGTGAGCAAAGATTGATCTGACTCTGCCAATAAAACTGAGGAAAGGAATTTTGAGAATAATGATATTGCCAAAGTGCAAGGATTAACTCGATATATATCTTTATCTCTTATACCTCAAACTTCTGTTCATTTTAAAGATAGACTGGATCTAGGCCCCATTTCAATCACCGATGCTGAACTCAAACATAATAATTGTTTTCCTGGAAACAATATGGAAATGTTACACCACTTGAGGGATATACCCCAATCTCTCAATCTAAATTAAAGTGATGGGATTAGTATTGTAGGCTGTCCTATGTCCCTTGGTTGAGCCTTGCTGGATGATGATGTAATGAAAAGACTGAGCAATTCCTATTGTGACTCTATCAATCTATCTATCTATCTATCTATCTATCTATCTATCTATCTATCTATC